CTTTCGGGATTTGAGCCCTGAAGCGTCCAAATTCTAAACCAACCACCAAGTCGAGGGAAGCTAATTCGAAAGCGCCTAAGCTGTTTTTTTCAAAGTTGAGCAAAGTCCCATAGGCACCCGAAGCAGCCACATTCCATTTGCTGAATGAATGGGTTTGCTTTTGTGTTTTCCCTTGATGGTTTTAAAGAGACTCGATCGCACCCACTGGAACAAACATGTTGTTTTGTGTTTGTCCTGACTTAAGGAAAATGGAGGCCACCTTGTTTTGAGAAAACAATTTGGCACCCTGTTTTTGCTGACTTCAAGGGAGACCCAAGAACAAGCTGCAAAGAAAAACAGAACATCACTGGAGGCCTGTGGAAAAAGATAAGCAGTATACGAAGTCTTTCACATGTTTGTCTCACATAGGTGGCATCTTTTGGTGTCCCTTCAAAACTTCCAAAATTCAACAGGGGTACCCTCAATAACGGACAGACCCATAATATACCATGTGGTTATATTCAGTTCGCCAAGAACTCGCCATGGTTTTGGCTTCGAATTGTGCCTTGTTTCACACAAGTTGGTTATGCTGAGACGTTGACACACCTTCCAAACGTCAACGGTTTACTGCAAATGCCAATCTAGCCTTCCTCTTCGGAGGTGCAGTACCTCCGCCAGAAGTGCGACGAAAAGGACCAAGCCCCGTCGATGGCTCGCGCAGCCGGTTGAGCCACCTTCAAAACCTAGGGTTGGGCGGGGGTTGGGCAAAATGGGTCTGTCTTGTTCTTGAGGTGCAACCCTTTTGGGGCAACAGGAACACCGATAAATGGGTGTGGGTCAACAATTGGTACCCAAAGTGGAATGACTACAACCTGCGGTCTGGTGGCTTTATTTTGACCCATACCCAAATCTGCCGGAGCCAAGATTGCTCAATCCGCCTGTTTTTTTTCCATTCGAGCCCCTGGGTTTCCCAAACGATGTGATCCGGCCGAAAACGGGTCCATTGGTTTACTATGGCAAAGCCTGAAAAGGGCGGGTATGGGACGTGAGCGCCGGTCCCAATCAAGCGCCTTGGTTGATTTACGTTCCTTACCAGGTTTAGATGATGACAGTTCGGTTGTCTCGAGGGCGTCAATCTCTCGCCGGGGATACCAACCAGTTGCAAAGGGGTGCTCCGTATTGTACGAAACAGGTCAAAGGAACGACCCAAAACACTTCGTTCCTGAAGTCGGATCTGGGAATTGCAGTGATTTCGTCAGGTGCTCAGAGCACTGCAGGGTCCCGAGTCCCACAATGTCCCTTCACACCTTGAGAAGTGGCAGCAAACCGAGCACTCATTTTGGAGGAGTTCCGCCATCCCAACGGGGCCCTTTCTTGATCTTGTCCATCAGCGGTAGTTTTGCGCAGCTCCCTGGTATCAGGCCCTGAGTTGGGTGTGGGTCAAAATTAAACCACCAGGGGACCACAGGTTTTAGTCATGGGTTCCATTTACGAGGGTTCCATTTTGGGTACCCATTTTTGACCCACAGCCAATTGGCGGTTGAGATTCGTGGGGTTTGACCCAGATCAGCTAAAGTGTTCCTAAGGTCCAAACCACCGAGCCAAACCACCTGGTGATCATCTCAGCTCCCCAACGTCGGGTTGACCTTTTTCTGATTTTCGAAGGTCTCAAAAGGTTTGGGTCTCAAAAGGTCTCAAAAGGTTGTGGTACAGATTTAGTGAAGGTCTCAACAGGTGGATTTTTAGGGTCCCTTGGCAGCTGAGGTATGGGCTGTCCAAAGGTAATCCGCAAGAGGGCACGAACATCTAGATAATGTTAACCCCGGATTAAGCAGACCCCCTGGTTGATTAATAGGGGGGTGTCCCCGTTTAGTGGGGATTCATCACTTTTGGAGGGAACACCCCCCCAATAATGGGACAGGTGTATTAATCCTGGGTCAACATTATGAAGACCGTAGGATGCCATGTCTTCACAGCTAGTTCAATGTGATTCCTTCTGGGTGTAAGATTCCTCCAGATCATTGCCTGGTGTTGATGCTTACTTTGGGTGTCCCAGTTGTAGTGGCTTCCCTCCAGAAATAATGGATTTGGATTGGCCAACCCTCCATTTTGAACAGCCCTTGGCCCCACTTTGACCTGGTGCTTTGTGAAGAGCCCTTCGCGCAGATCGGACTCTTTGCAGCACCCGTGATCTTTTGTTCACCTTTGAAGGAGCGCCGGTGCGAGCAGCTGATGGCAGAGAAGGGCGCCTTGTCGGTCCGGGCGCCTATCCGTTGCAGGGCTGCCTCAGATTTAAGGTCGACCCCCGGATGAATACAACCCCCATCCTTCCGTGGATGAACGAAATCCGCTTCTCGCACCACCGCTCAGAGACCCCGGAATGGTGATTCTCATGTAAAGGCCAACAACCAATGGTTTCAACCGTGATCACAAAGTTGTGGGAAGTGGATTTTGTCCATCGTGATGAATTCGCACGAATTTGGGAAGCTTCCTATTCATGAACCAGGGGTTTATAGATCCCCCGTTCCCATTACTGGGATCCCACTACGGCACCTCACAGGGGCTCGCTTGAGGAAATCCTGTTCCAGGAACCCTGGCGCCACGTTCGGAACCGTGCTGGGGATGCGAAATCCGGCACCGCACCACGAAATGAACGAATGGTTCAAACCATGGTTTGCTTTTGTATTTCCAGGGGATTTTGAAACTCTAGGCTGTTCGGCCTTTGCAGTGGTCCCCAGTTGTTGTTTGGAGTCCTTTGAGGGTCATAAACAATTTGTGATTTGGATTAGGATTGGTGGTTTGGGAATTTGAGCCGCTGGCTCTTACTCAGTGCAAAAATTGCCTCTTGACCTCCAAACCACCAGTCAACTCACCCACAGGCACGACCTGGGGTTGTCTTTTGTTGAGGGAATCTTCCCTGGTAGAGGGGCGTTGGACGGATCTCATACTTTCATTCCGTTAGACATATGTTTGATTTTCCTCCGTTAGTTTTAAAGGGAATCGATTTGACTGCTGGAAATATGTAGTTTATGTCCAGGGGACTGAAGCAAATAAAAGAGAAACAAGCCCATGCTGAGTTCTGCATGCGCTTTTGCCTTTTGCGACCTCCGGGGGTCACCGCAGGTCACTTTGTTCAGGTTTGCGAGTATTGGAAATTCACTTATACTGTGGAACGAACTCCTGCACCACCTAAGAAACCATGCATGGGAGAATATATAATCCCCGTGAATACCAGGAAGCAATGGTAATAATTACCATTTGGTAACTGCCCATCTATTCAAAGTGGTGCAGGATTAGATCCATCCACAGTATAAGAAATATGTCCATGTAATGTGCTCCGTTGTCTAGCTAGTTCTTGCCCCTGGTCAAACCAACAAGTATCAGTCAACATGTCTCACTTCCTGGGTTCCTGGACTGTATACTGTTTGGGAAGACCATTTTCGGAGGGAAAACAAACATGTTTGGATTGTTTTCGGCCAATCCACTCCAAGAGTCAGCGATGCATGACTTACCATTGCTGCCAGAGAGTAGGGTAACTTGTCACTTCTCTTGTCACCGGCTGAGCCTGTGGGCATTTGGTACAGAGTGCTTGAGATATGGGTTTTTCTCTTGGGTTTGACTAGAAAAGCACCAAAAGAAAGGATACCCTCAAAAAGGACAGATCCTTATGGATGCTCTATTGTGACGGATTCATTTCGTGAAGTACACGAATAAGCTATGCCATCATCATCCCCCTTAAAAACGACACCACCGCCAAGCAAGGAAACTCGCGTTACCAATAGTTAGGGCTACCAGCACTTGTGTGCCCATTTGTCCGTCCGGGCAGTTAAGCACCTACGTGTAGAAGGCTTGTTTACGAGTCTTTGTTTGTATCAGTGCCGCGCAGCACTTTTGGATGGCTTGAAATTAACACAACGATAGACCAACCAATTGTGCGAGTCTTGGATCTTTTTAAACACCCTCGATGATTCATGGAGGGTCTCGGATCTTGTTAACCACCCCATATGACTCTTTGCCAACATGCTTTGCTCGGCAGATGTTGCTGGTAAGACAGCTCTGCTTTTGGAAGAGAAGCCGGTGTACTTCCATCTCAGTTCGTGCCTCGCATAGTGCAACTCATTTGCCCGAGGGACATGACGTGCCACCTGAAGTCTTCGGCAAATGGCATGTTCATTTTGCTTTCGGGTGAGGGGAAATAACTATCCCTGCGGTCCCTGCCTCACATACCCGGTTTAAAGGTCATGTAATGGTGACCCCATATTAATCAACCCCAGTTTACTACTATGGGGAGTGTGCCCCTGCAAAAGTGGTCTGATTCGCCACTATTAAGTTTGCGATGCCAAGCTTTCAGGCTGATAGCACTGCCGACCCGCCAGCATTGGCTTAAGTGATAGCACATGAGCTTGTCAAGAGCATTCGACGGTGCATCCGGACAAACATAGCGACAGCTCCTCACTTCCTGAGTTCACGGACTGCAACCTTTTAGGAAGACCATGATAGTGACAAGCAACAAGTGTGGACTTTCTTTGGCTCAACCACTCAAGAAGGCTCAGTCTCAAAGGATCCTCTGTTGCAAAGAATCAATGATGGGGAATGGATGTTCCGTTCAAACAACAGTGAACCCTGCACGGTGTTTGAGCATCAAGGTGTGGGTTTGCGATCTCACGATGCTTCCTTTCCTGGAGGTCGATTACTTATTGTCAGGTGGATTAATTATTGTCGCACTTCCCCGGTTGCTGCACTTTAGTCACTTTGGGGTGCAGTGTAGACCATTTTGGTGGCAAGAGTTGGCTTACTTCCAGTCCACGGAAGTGAGTCATAGTTCACCCACAGAAGCTCAGGATGAGACACGAGCTCACGATGAGACTCCACTCACTGCGATTCTTGTTTCGCTGTTCCAAGGTTTAACTCACCAAGGCAACCAAAGGCAATCGACCAAAACGGACCTTTTGCTTTTCCCGGATGCCAAGGAATCCCGCCCAACAGCCAGACCCGCCCCAGAACGGCACAGTATCATCAACGGAAAGACGCCGCTCCTTGGTTCATGGACTGACGTCAATCGTGCCATGCTGGCGCGGGCTGAGACCACAGTGGGGTCCCCACGCGCTTCACACCCTGAGTTCAACTTGTCGCTCGGTTTCGCACTTCTCCAAAGCGTACGTGAAGGCTAAGGGACAATCAGCCCCAAAGGCCGCCTTCTTATTTCTTTACAATTCTGACTCAAATTACCTGTTCTCACTTTCTGAGTTCCGTTGCGGACTTTGGTGACTTTGTTGGCTTTGGACGATTTGGTGGTAAACAGCAAAAAGGGTTTCTTGTTTTGACCCTTCCGCTCAATCGGAAGTGAGTTTTGGTTTTCCAGTGTTGGTCCATAGTGTGTCAATGTCCGAACAGCTTGACCTCGTATTTTTGGGCCTTTAAGGGACTGAGGTTTCCATGCCAAATACCTTGTAGTCGCTTTCCCCATATCACTTGTCGGGTATATATTCCAACAATGGTGAGACTTCCCTTGCGGTGGGTTTTGGGCGGGGCCAACTTACAGCGTCCAGCTTGAAGTGGATTTCCTTCCCTTTGCTTCAGCATATTTTGTTGTTTGCCTCTGTTGGGTTTAAAGGGGATCTATCATGATCTATCAGTACTGGAAATAGTTGTTTGTTTCCTTGGGGCTTCAGCAAATGGAGGTTTCCCTTTTGTGGTTACAGCTATCAGATTTCCGAGGTTCACCAGGTGCCATGCAGGGCCCAGAGGGGGGATGTGCCGAGTCGTTTTGTGGTCTTGTGAGTGTCCAATTGGGCCCAGGGGGTCTTTCACCCCCAAGAGCTGCGAATATGGAGTCCCTAAAAGAGTGGGGAAGGATTGCCTAACGCTCCCTAAGGAAATCTAAGGAACCCTTATTGATTTGTAGGGAACCCTAATAAATTTTAGGGCTCTCAACTACCCACCCCCCTTGTACCTACTCCCTGCCCCCAGGGGATTCCATATTCCAAGTATCCGCTTTTCGTTTAAAGGAATACAAGCCTCTAGGCCCCAGTAGTGCCCTTTTATCTTTTTTTGCGGAGAGATCCCCTACCAAAATAGACTACCGAAAAAAGGGTACACGTATTCTAACCTCTCTACTGGAGGACCTAGGAATCTTCGCTTCTGGTTCCAGGTATATGTTGTAGACCAATATGGGGGTCTCTGGTTTTTGAGGGTACCCGTTGTTTGTGACTTAAAATAAAACCCAAAGGAAAGCCCGTATTTTTTTTGGGGGGGGGTCCACTGAACAAAACACCCATATGTTCCGCGGTAAATGTCTCCGTTGTTAGTCAGGGGTTGGCATCATAGCTTGAAAAGCGTTGGTATAAGGTAGGGAGGTATGCATAATATGTTTGCCATGGAAGAAGCCTGGTGGATCAACAGGAGCTCCAACAAGTGATCCAAAACCCTCCAGGAAGCTAACAGTCTCCCCTCCAAACACAGAGCGCACACGGGGGGGGGGGGGGGTTGCGGGGGGTTCCTGTTGTCAATGAAAGTGGTCGTTTGGGGTTCCTTTTGTTCCTATGTTTGTCAAGGGCGCCCCCAAAGAGGGGATTTGTCAATTTGCAGAGCGGCATAGAAACGGACACTCAATTTAACATGGCCCAAAAGGGCGATGTTGGATTCACCCCAGAAGGAGCTACATACTGTGGATGGACGAAATCCTGCACCACCTAAAAACCCCTGGACTGATGATTCCCCTGTAAAACCAACGAACAATGTTTTGTTATGGTTTGATAGTGGTGCAGGAATTCCCCCATCCACAGTATGTTGGTGTGTATTTGAGGGTAGCGTTTTCACCTTGGTTTGAAGGGACACCGAAGAACCCAACTTTCTGGGGTTGCACGCGCCCAAAGCTTTCGCGGCCTCGCTGAGGTGCTCAGGACTGGGAGTGATTTTCGCAGTCCTCTTCTTTTAGACCCATAAGTTTTCGGGGAAACCAAGTAGCAGGGATAACGGGGACCAGTTTGTTACCAGAGGATTCCCCGCGCCAAGGGAACCCAAGGGGAATCAACCCATATCCCCGCTGCCTCCGTATAGACGCTTCTTTGTCTGTCCAAAGGGGGTTGATCAATCATGTTGACCCCCTTTCCTGGGCCGGTCTTTGGGTGAAATGTGGGGAATCTGACCAGTTTTGGAGGGGAATACCCCCGTATTCATAGCGTTAATAGACTGGTTGGTTGATAAATATGGGCTTAACATTAAGCAAGAGGGTCTTTCCTTTTCCTTTTGCATGGTTTGGGTCTTGCCTCTTTTTGTGCCCCACATGTTTTCCCTATTAATATTGGTACGAATTGCCGGTCAAGCAGCCACCAACTGCAGCAAAAGGCTCCGCCTCCGGCGACGGGGGCACAGTTCGGTGCCTCAGCAAGAGGCAAGGCAACCCATCATCTCTGTCGAGGCTGACGGGGCCCCGAAGGAGTGGCTGATCAAGGTACTTTCCAAGATCTTTCGCAGCCACTACCCCATCGAGTTCCGCATCGTCAGCTGGGGGCAACATTCTTCCGTTTCCACCGCTTCGCTTCAGTTCCCTTCAGCGGGGTGGCACTACGAAAAGGAAAAGGCAGAGATGACCACGAGGGGGTTCATCAATATTCCGTTCGGTCCCCAAATGATCGCAATGTAACGGTTGAACATATAATCTTTCTAGCAGTTGTCCAACCAATGGTCATCCCATGCAAAGGATCTGTTCATAACCGGCTTGTTTTGGGGAGCTCTTGTCGGTTGATTTGTTGCGAAGCCATAGGGAAACTAAGCATTTTGTTGGTCCCCTATTTTGACACAAACCCATGAGATGTCCTTTCTAAAGGTGTTGTTCACAGCACTGTCCTTTGAGACTATAACAAAATACATTGCCTGCCCAAAAAGTGCAGGCATGTTCTCGGAGTAATGCGAGCTTCGTCCATGACTACTTGGTTGTTGTTTGGTTTGACCTTTGACCGTTTAACTCTGTTTCCACTCTAGGTGCCAAAAATCCGCTTCGCACCATTTGGTGCGTGGTTTATATTGGTTTGTATATCCCAGTATTCATAATGTAGATGGACAAATTCATGCTCCGCTTTGGAACCATGGGAAATCATTGCAAGTTTTCGTATTTTCTGGTGTCCTTCCAGGGTTTCTGAACGGTGGTGCGAGAAGCGGATTTCGTCCTGCACAGTGTATTTTAACTGGTGCGAAGTGTACTTTGTACATCCATGGTTGTTTTTGAGGTACGGGCAGGCTGGACCTGCTGGCGACCAGCAACAGATCCACACCCCTTTGTCATACTGTGGACCGAGGACGAAATCCGTTCGCACCACGATATGAATCCATTAGTGAAACCATCGTTTATCAATATTTACAGGGGAATCATCATTCCCTGGTTTCTTAGATGGTGCAGGATTCTGTCCATCCGCAGTATTGAGTTGGTTTGAACCATGGTGTTTTGTTTGCCGGGATTGTGCAAGGGATCCTCACGTCCTGCGTTGTTGGACTCCCCGTTTTAGTGGCAGCCAAAAGTTTGGATGCTTTGTTTGGCAAATCCACTCGATCGGAAGTGAGGTATTGTTTGCAGCCGGGACTTTGAAGCGGCGTGTGCTTTGGTCCTCCGCAGGAGTGCTCTGACACTTTTTGGGCAGTCGAGAGGCGGGGCCCTCACAGTACCTTGGCCCCAAAGCACGGCCGATGCCCTATCATAGAACAAGGAAACCCCCCCAAGTCATGGGTTTGAGTGTCGGTTTATTTACCGGGATGCTCGGCCAAGTTAGCAAGTGGTTAGCCAACTGGGGTATACCCCCCTTATAACAAGGTCAACCCGTGGCTTATATCCTCGGCTGCCAACAACTTACTTGGCGAATCAAGCACCCAATAAGGAACAACAGGAACATTTGGGTGTGGCTCAAAATTTAAGAGCTAGGCTTACGCAGGTTTTAGTCTTTGGTTGCATTACCGAGGTGCCATTTTAGTACATGTTTTGAGCCACAGCCATTTCAATTTTGAGGGTCCCCAACTCTGAGACAAAGCCAAGTAGCTTTCCGAATCGTTGCTCCAAGTCCCACCCCCACGAGCAAAAGGTCTGGATCGACAAGGTGTAGGTTAGTAAACCCGAAAGTTCCAACGAGGCAAACACACCAAAGGCCAACCATGGTAATTCTGATGGACGGATTCCTGCACCAGTTGGTGGCTTCTCCCATAGAGCTTTTTCCATACTGGTGCGAAGTGGACTTGGTTCATCCACAGTATGTGGGGGTTGGTCAAAAGGTCCTTTGCATGGGATGACCATTGGTTGGGAAAACCACCCAAAAAATGATGAGTGTCCAACCCAAACAGGCAAAGTTTCCCATGGTCAAAACTGGAGGCTGTTCCGGGAAGATGGATCAGCCCCCGTGTTTTTGGCTGGTTTAGTCCATCCTGCCGTAGGGCTGAACAGGGCCTGCGGCCTGGCGCGATTCCCAGCTTGCCCGAGCTGTCCGGTGGCCGGTTCTTGGGGCTCGAGTTTGAGGTTTGGGTTTTGGGGGACGAAATGCAACAGTTCTGAGCAGCTCCAAAGATGATATATATATATATAGGAATACCTGCGAATTCTTCAAAAGTGTAGGTTTGAACAAGAAAAGAAAAAAGGGTACCTCCAAACAACAACAAGCAACAACGAGGTCACCTCCCCGTTATTACAGCGAGGTTACTCCCTTGCTGTTACTGACAGTATCAATTTTATATTTAGGAATACCAGCGAATGCTTCAAAAGTGCAGAGTTAAAAAAAGAAGAGGGGAGGGGGTACCATTGTATGCATATGTATATATATATATATATATTAGGGTGGACTAAATGCGAAACTGGAGCACAGAATAAGCAGAGATGCGAGTGATGTGTACCCCAGCTGCGGCCCAAGTCTTCTTTTGCGCCACATGAGCTGCCTGACGTTGACAGGGGAACAACCTAAGGCCCACCCTAAAGGGTTCACATGAGTGACCCATTTCTTGACAGGTTTGATCGGAAGGTTGCAGCTTTAAAAGTCCCTGAGTGATCGCAATTTGGAGTAATAGCAGGGTGAACCCGCAATTAACTCCGCTTAGGGGGACTTATAGGTGGGTGATAGGTTGGGAACACTCACTCTCTCAGTTCCGTTTCGGACTTGACACTTTTTTGGTAAACCAAAAAACTGGAGCTTGTTGTTGGCCAATCCACTCAAGAGAGTCAAGACTCCCAACATGTTCAGGGTAGCGTAGTGGTGAGCAAAAAGTTTGCCTGGATCGCCAGTTGCTGTTTTTGGCCCATGCACTTTACCCGAAGACCAGCGACAGTGATTAAAACATGCGATCCAGGTGGTTGCCTTTTTTTGCCCATCAACTGCGGAAGCGAAAGCTCACCTCGAACCCCGCTACCCTCGGGGGGGGGGGGGGGGGCGGAACCCAGGAGTGTAGTGGGATCAGCTACTGGCCACTAGCCACTGCTGTTTTTTTTTCAGTTTTTTTTTTTTTTTTTTTTTTTAATGAGTCCAAAGTTTTGATTGTGGGCAGAGACTATGGATCACATGACGCCTGACAAACTGATCTCGGCTACTACCAACCCACCTGAGCCACAATCAAAACCCGAGTAGATGAAGGTCAGTAGTCAGGGGACAATCCCAGCCGGAGATAGCGAATCTGTGCGTTTGTGTATATCCTTGCATGGATTCTGATGGATATTTTTTTGAGTACCAGGTTTTGATTGTGACTCACCTTATCCAAGCAATTCCGTGCCCTTTCGTGTGTGTGATAAAACGCCCCCTTTGAAAACAATCAGTAGTCCATTGTCCTTTTTGGAGGGACATTATAGGAGAACTTATCTTTGGTGCATTTTGCTTGGCTGTTAGGACTTTACCTTTTTGCCAACTAATGCTTTTTCCGTATTAAACCACTAAAAGTTATTCACTTTCAGCAGGGCGTCGCAGAAATCGCAACCGAGTTACGATTGTTTTCTGCAAAACTGGGCAACTCACAAAGTGTCCCATGTCTCACTCCCTGAGTTCCCGGACGTCTGACTTGTTTAGAAGACCACTGTGATAATCAGAAGTTCGGACTTGGCCAATCCACCAAAAGAAATGCACGAAAGGAGGTGCGTATCTTGACTGTGGCTCTAGAAAACGGTTCTTGTCTTGCCCCCTGTAGGTTCCTTTTGTTCTTTTAGCAGTCTTTTCATATCCCACAGGAGTGCATTCATTAAAACCACGAATCCAAACCGTTTGCTAAAGTGGCAAACAAAAAGGCATCTTTGTTCTCAAGATCAATCCGGAGTTTTTCCTCCCGAGGTGGGCTATCCCAACGTGGGGAAGTCCTCTCTCTTCAATGCCTTGGTCGGCCGGGCTTCCAAGGAAGGGTTGCCATGCCATGGTCAACCTGATTCATCTGGCAGAGGAACCCCCTAAATATAGATCGTTCGCGTACTAGGGGAACCACCCCTGATTAGTACGTAACTTCGGACAAATCCGAAGTTGACACTTTGCACTGTTGTCTTCTGTAGCAAGGGGATGGCACGCATTCAAATACACATCGGAATTGGGGGTTACTCGCCAAAGTCGCGATTTACTCACTGCCACGCCTTGGAGTGCTTCCTAAGGCACGAAATGGGATAAGAGGGGGACCTGGGATGAGTTGTTTTTGTTTTAGTTTTGTCTAGTTGTTAAAAAATGAGTGTTTTTTTGTATCCAGCCTGGAAGTTGCCAACGGCCTCAAGCGCGTGAGGCTCCACCGTGGCCCAAGCTGAGAACTTCCCGTTCTGCACCATCGAGCCCAACGTGGTGAAGGCCGGACGGCCGTTTTGTTTTTAACTTTTCGCTGAGACCGTTTTAGTGGTCTGCGCTGTTGTTGGCAAGTTGTTCTTAGGTTTTATGTGTGTTATGTGTGGTTTGGGTCTGTTCATTTTAAGTAGGGGCCTGCAAAAAACAGACTCAGCTTTTTTGCAAGCCCATACTGTTTGGGTGGTAGAGTGGTAACCCGCAAGTTTGGACTTTTCTTGGCCGACTGATTGGGGATCAGACCTATCAAAGAGGTTGATATTAATATCATACCTTGTGCGTTTTGTTGGTGTATTAAAGGGAAATCAAAGGAACACCACCATTGTTGGGGTTCCCCTAAACAAGTCACACCCATATTTATGTTTTTTTGTTGCATTTGTGTGTAGAAACTTGCCATGAATTGCTTTGATATGTTTCCTGGAGATTGCTTTGGTCAACTGCCGGAATGTTGCCATCAGTCTGAACACTCATACTTTTAACCAGAGCCCGGGTCTGAATGGTTAAACCATTTGTGCCACTCTGATGACCAACCCCATAAATAAGTAGTTAGTAACCCCATGTCTTCACTGGTTCTAGGGTAAATCCTACTTGAAGGACTTACTTAAGGCAAATATTTTCCGTGTCCGCAGAAACAAAACCCTCCGAGAAGGTTCCAAGAACCCGTGGTTCGGGCTGTAGGGGGGAACCTGCCAACTAGTCACTCAAGTTACCCAGTTGCAACCAGTGGGTTGCTTCGATCTTTTTCGATTTTTTTGGGGAAGGGTCCCCCTGTACAGTCAGCCAACCAACAAAGGAGGCCCTTTTTTGCCCATGGCCACTGGGCGTCTGAGGTTATTAGTCACTTTGCCAACTGTTGTGGTAGTCCAAGTTGTTGGGTTGGACGGTACGCCGGACGGTTGAATGCCATCAGCCAAAAGTGTTGCCCATCCATCGGAAATCCTGCTTTCGCCAAGTGGTTGGCCACTTGGGGTATCACCCCCTTAAACAATGTCACGCCGCTGTTAGCGGCCCCGCTGAATTCGCACTTGTTCAGCCATGTGATTTGGTGCAATTGTTAACCCTTCCAGCACTTTGTGCAATGTCGCATTTTGAGGCATGCTGAAACATCCCACGTGTACCATGACGTTGACAACTTTGTGTCTCATGTCTGTTGGGCAAACACAATTCAGGGCCAAAGGCTGGGCCGGAGAAACAAAAAAACAACGGCTTCAGGCACGTCCTCGTGCCAGCTTGCTTAACTCTTGCAACAGGCTCTGTTGGCTTATGTTGCACCCATAATTAGAAATACTAGTAGACGTTAAGAAAACATCCGTCAAAGAAAGCATCTCGAGGATATTCTCCAGGAAGTTAACTTGGGAAGCTTTTGGGAATCTGGCCTAAGCCGTTTTAAGGGGGATTTACCAGTCTAAGCAAATCTAATTTCCTGTAGAAGTTCTTGTGGAAGGATTCTGTGAATCCGACTTGATACAAGGTCTTTAGGCTTTCAGGTTTAGTGTTAGCTGTTTCTCGGGAAAGATATTAGAACACAAGAACCCCACAATTTCCCGACTCGTTGCCCCGAAGCCAATTTCTCCTGGTAGTGTATGTTTGATGTTCCATGTGCTATTGCAAATGGCAGTCTGGAAAATAAGTTGGACATAGTATGCTCTGTGTATTCCGGTTGCCCCAAGTCAGGTAAGCCTTAATTGGTTTGGTTTGGAGTGGTATAGAGGGTAAATGGGAAACCACCCACACTTCCAAACCACCACTCCACATCACCAAATGGGCCAATATACACTATTTACAACCAACCTGTTGTAAGGCCGCGAAAAATCAACACCAATTTATCGCCATGTTCGTACGCAAGGTCAACAGCACCGGTTCCCCAACGTAAATACCAACAAACCTTATGGTTTCATTCCCATAGCAACTCATTTCGTGGTTTCTTTTTCATAGATGTCGCAACCATCCCCGTGGATTCAGTGATGCGTTTTATGGATTTGGTACCCGTCCGTACGTCGAAGCTCATCGCCGGCTTCGTCGAATTCGAGGGATCCCTTCGATAGGTGGGGGTGCCGGATCCTCGTCTCCACTCCTTGGCGGAGCTCTGCTCCTCCCAACGAGTGGCCCGGGGAGCTCAGGCGAAAAGAAGTCGCGGATCGGGTCGATGTTTGACACGCGTCTGACCGCGTCTGCGTGGGTCTTTTTTTAAAGGTGGCATTTTTTGAGGTGAAAAGGAAATCCTCTACCTTTGTCTTTCCGCTTTTCGTGTCTGCCTCTTCCTCTGTGGTTGGCTCGCTTTTGTTTGTCCTTGTGTATTTTGTCTTCGCATTTGTTTTCTTTGCCTGTGTCTTTGCGGCCGCCATTATCTTTTGTTCCTTGCGCGCATGTCTTTCGCTCCGCCTTTGTCTTTCGCTCGCATGTTCATTTTTCAGGAGAGGACCCCATCTTGTTGGACCTACGCAGCCTGGCCTCCCTGCAGAGTGCCAGATGTCAGATGGGTGATGTGCTGGGCTGGCTGCATGAGTGTGTTTTTGAGGGTACCCTTAAATGGTGCTTTCCTGGTGGCTTAGACGGGGTACCCTGAGCAAAAGACACACCCAACATGGATCTACACCTTATGCGGGACCTGTTTGACCTCCATGTGCCGCAGTGAGGCCCCGACAGACGTCCTGTGATAGCAATGACTGCTGATGCTTCTACAAGCGGAAAAGAACCATTGGCGATGTCACCGGAGATCGGCATGGTTTGCTCACTCGCGCATGCGTGCACGGGTGTGTGATGGTGTGTGTGTGTGTGTGATGGTGTGTGTGTGTGTGTCTTTGCGTCCCTGAGTCTCTCTGTCTTGTCTGTCTGTTTGGAGATCCAAAGCGTCAATCTTCATTTGCAGACCCCATGTTTCAGGCAAGTGGCTTGGATTGGTCAGGGTTTGACCCCAAAAGGTTCTCGTAAAGGGTGTGTTGGGTTCCGGGCCTTGAACAAGGCAGGTTGTTCCTTGAGCCTCGGATAGACTTTTGGCACCTGACTGGTTGATGTCACTAGGAAACTATCACTGGCAAGTTGCGATTTCAGTGGCACGGGGTTTGTAATCGAACAATGCCCCGATCCTCCGGAATCTGCGGGATTTTAGATGAACCTGCTACAGGCTGTCGATGTGTTGGGCGTGGGCTTTAAGCTTCTATTTGGACTGCTCACACCCGCCTCCCTTAAGGCCTTATGAAGGCCTCATGTCGAGCAACCCTTCCCGAACCCCGCTCGCAACCTCAGGAAACCCAGAAGGTGGTTTGGATGGTTTGGGGATTTGGGGGTGTCTTAATATAAGATAAGGGAACCCCAAAACTGGCGGCCTTCCTTAATAGTTTCCGGCCAAAACCACAAAAAAGGTACCAGCTCAAGAACAAGCTCCTCTGGGCAAATGGATAACCGCCACCCCAGAACTTCGAATCCAAGCCACCTTTTGCGAAGGAAGCTGAATCCAAGGGGTTGGGGGCCGGTTGGGCGGGGTTGAAGCGGGCCGAGTCATGAGGTTCCTGGTCAGTTGGAGGTCCGGGACATCGCTGGTCTCATCAAGGAGCCGCGGAGTGCGAGGATCTTGGCTAGTTGGTCGGATCTTTGGAAAAATTATTCTCCAACAGCTGGAAGCGTTGGCATCTCTGGCCAAATCAGCCTTGGGGTGGTTTCGAGCGGCTTTCAGGGAGGGGTTCCGGTTGAAGTCTCACGTCCTGAGTTCATGGACTTTAGTTAGTTTTTGGGGTTTGGACCATTTTCGTGGCAAACAACTTTTGTTGTGCCAATCCACTCAGGAAGTGAGTAGTTGGTTGAGACTTTATCTTGTTCTTTTGGGGGAGAAGTCATGATGTGGTCCCATTTTTTTCATGGACCAAACCACATGTAGTGTATCATACTCAAATTAGTATGCCTAATGTCGTAATTGTATACCTGTTTTGGGTTGCTGTGAAGGGACACCAAAGAGCCCGTTGCTCAAACGCCTGTGTTTGTTTTCACAAGGGGATGGGCCCACGGCGAAAAGGAAAAGGAACACAGAAAGCAGCTACAGATTCACAGCAAAAGAGAAAGAGGAAGGAGAAGCCCCCTACCAGAGAGCGAAAGCCAACGGATCGCCCCCCTTGCCCAGCCAGGGATCATGATTCTGCCTGTCGATACCAAGGGTTAGATGTTTGAAGGTGGAGGAGAGGGGGCGTTGCATCTGAAAGCCTTCCCATTTCCATTGAAACCAGTTCCTGAGTTCCTTCAACAGGCATAGGTTGAGAAACAAGTCTAGAACATTCATAGATGCCCTGATTTCGCATCAGAACTTTCCAAGGGATGAATCCACGGGCCACCACAGACCCTGTGCGGTATCGGTATGGATCGGTATGGATCCTTGCGCGCCAGGGGGCTTCAGCTGGCGCGGGCATGGGCAATGCCTTCCTCAGCCAAATTCGGGGCGTCCAGGCGAGAGTCGACTCGACGAAAATCTCGGATCGCTTTCATTGAGCTGGGACGCCAACCTATCAACTAGGGGTTGTATCAATGCTAGCATCTAAAGAAAATGGGTATGTATCAAGATATTCCAAAAACAGAGAGGCTGAATCTCGTTGCGGTTTTCTCTTTTGGTTTCCAAACTCGATGGTTAGATGGGCCCTTTCCTGGTCTGGAGCTGGTTACTTGAAGATCCAACATGGTTGGTGTCCTTTTGGCTTCCCTTTTAACCCTAGAGGAGTACCCTCAAAAAGATGCTGCGGTTCTCTAATCTTATAGAACAAGTCGCACGATTTTATTTTGCAGGGCCATTTCAATCAATTTCGACGCGCGTGGTTTTGTTACCACCTTTTCCTTTCCAGTTCCTGGGGTTTCCTTCCCTGGACTTTTTTGTCGGTGCGCTGACACAACTCAAGTGGGATGCGGCCCTGCGCACTCTGCGCAACTCTTTGTTTTTGGCTGTTCGCATGCTTTTCCCATCGCTTTCCACTGGTTTGAACGCTATGTTTCCCATGCTTTTCCCATATCTTTCCCCGACTTGGGATTTGGAGAAAATGTAAGGACAACTGCTGGAGTCATCTAATCTGCATTTTGTGTGAAGAGCCATCACTTGAAAAAAACCAGTGATGTTTAAAAAATGTGTTAAAATGACGCCTTTGAACATGGAAAAGTACATTGGCTTCCCAAATGTGCCTGTTCACTTGAGGTTGGCTACCGAAATGACCTTCTAACTCTGTTTGAACATGTTATTTTCCCGCTACTAAGTGGCAAACCGCGAACCACGTTTTGCAGGGGGGTGCTGTTGAAGAATTGTTTTGCCCGGTCCAAAGTTCCTCAAATACTACACCCGTCAAGTCCCCTTTGGTATGGTGGCTTGCCCAGAAAGGGTGCTCAAACAACTTAGCGTTTGGTAAGCTGGGTTATCTACTTCCAAACGGCCCAACCCACTCATAAGGTCATAACCTAGGTAACTACCCTTTGTTGCATGTTGCTTGCATGTTAGGACTTTAACTTTTTGCCAACTAATGGGCTTTCCGTATTAAACCACTGAAAGTTAGTCACTTTTAGCAGGGCTTCGCAGATTTCGCAACCGAGTAACCGCCCCCCAACCAAAAGACCGAGCGCCCGAGCACCAAAGACCAAAACACGAATCCCCTTTTGTCGCTTTTGTTGGGTCACTGGAAAATGTTTGGGGTCTTGGACTGGGCCAAAGAAGAAAGCAACCTCAGTTGCAACCAAAGCGAGTCGACGAGATCAATCGACCTTTTGGTTGTTTTTCCATTTCGGACTTTTCTTACAGGGTTCTCTCCATTACCCTTTTTGGTTCCTCCAAAGTGGCAGTTTCAACGACAACCACCTGTAAATTGTTCAACTTATTCGGGGAAATCGAGGCAGCCCTGTAGTAAAGTTCCCAAGTGATCAGCTTCTCTTGGTCTCCAGGGGCAACCTAGCCTAACATGGGGCCTCGTTTGTGAGAGTCCCGCGGTGAGCATCCTGGTTGAAAGTTTCCCTAACATGGGCAAATGGCGAAAAGCCCAAGCTGACCTGCGGGGTTCTACATGGGCTACCCTTGGGTTCAAGCCCTGGAATGGCAAGGGCCCAATTTAGATGACAATCATTCGGCAAGCAATGGTAGCTTTATGTACATGAACTTAACATGGCCCGGTTTTTGTTTTGGCGCTCACCAACCCACCTAGCGCTGGGCGACTCCTCGACTGGAGTCGGAATGGCTGGTGTTCCCCAGTGGCCTGGGGGCTTGAGAGAAAAAGCACACCTAGATACCCAAGTTGCGATCGCTTTTTTCAGTGACGGTTGCTGGTTTTTGGGGTAAAGTGGATGGAAAAAAGCAGCAACTGGCGATTCAGGCAGTTGTTGTTTTTGTGTACTCGGATGTTTGAATCGAAAAAGTTAGGAGGGGATCGCCACTCGGGTTCTAACATAACAGGGTTGCCTCCACAGAATAGGGACTTAGTGGGCCACAACCGAAGGGCTACCAACAACTTAGCAACTTGGCGAATTGAGCACCCAAGTGGGAACCCCGGATTCAACCCCAACTTACAAATCACTTCCTGAGTGGATGGGCCAGAAAGAGTCCAAACTTTCTGTGTACCACTTGGCAACAAACATCCAAGTTGGTACTTGGAGTGAGGCTCGACACAGTTTGACAAGATGGACCTTGTGCCCGCAGGATGTGTTTCGTTTCTCCACTAGGCCCCCAAAAAACCAGCCAATTAGTTCAGTCTGGCAATTTCTAGTTGTACTTCCACTGTTTCCAAGGATATTGACATGACCCTATGGTGTTTCTCAAAACGGGTTTCGGATCCCGAATTTGGTTGTGATTAAAGGAAAGGCAAGAAGAACCGAACCAAATTGCAGGCGACCGATTCCAAATTGAATCGACAGCTTTGTGGCTTGAGAGAGCTGTTTTGGCCCTGCGGCATGCGTTTGCGTTTTTCAACCCATGCCTCAGGTGATTTTCCACGTGGTCCGGTGCTTCAGCGACCAGCAGGTGGTGCACATAGAGGACCATGCGGGAGGGTTGCCATGGTGGCAGAAGGAGCTGAATCATTTCTATCTTCAAAGGCGGAAAGTATATGTGCATATAAGACCAGTTTATGGGTTCATTAATCGTTATTCAGTTGTGGCTTAATTGTAGGAAAATCAGCCGCAAAGAGTCCAAAATGGCCATGGGTTCATATATTGACATATACAATAGCCTGTGATATCATGATTATGGTTTTAGTGTAGGTTACCCAGTTAAGTAGCCCAGTTAAGTAGTGCCCAAAGCCGATTCCTATTGGCCATTTTCGTTGGTGGTTTTACTACCTGGTTTTCTTTGGATTAATTATAGTATTGCCTTCCTGGACTTCACATCAACAAGGTTTGGCCCAATCTACTCAGGAAGTTTGTACATAACTCGTGGAGCAATGTGGACAGAATCGGAAGCCAATGGATTTCCACTACCCCCCCACACAACTTCCTCCAGGGGGTTAATGGAAAGTATCTATGGCTAGAAGGGATTATATATACATACATATATTTCTATAAATCCCATTAGACTCATTCAGCGAGAACATTTTGGTGAACCGCGAAGAGGGTTCCTCCACGGCTTACGGGGCAGTGGCTAATGGTCCACCCGCAAAAGCTTGTTCTCATAAAGCTGCTCCTACCACCTCCCAACCACCCCCCCCCCCCTCACGCATGTCCACGCGCATCACATTTTTAATTTCCCCAAACGTGAGTTGAAGCACACAAGGACACTTTTCTACTTTGCTGCTTTGATGCCACTTTCATGATGGTCGTCTTCCAAGACCCTGCGAGCTGTCATCTTGTACCCAAAGCCCAACCCAACCAAAAAAACCGCTGCCCAATCCTCTCCACGCAACCCTCAAACACCCCCTCCTTCCCGACCTCCCTACCCCAACCTTCCAACCCTACCTCCAACCCACCACCCCCGAGCGAAACCGGACCCCGCGGAGAAGACCCAGGATCCCGTGAACATCGACCCAGTCAAGGAGCCCGGGGCCCGTTTCTTTTAGCCCGAGCCGGGCGATGTTTACATCACAGGTTCAAAGCGAATCCACCTTTTAACCTTTTGGTTTTCCAATGTTGGTCATATTTAATGTTGGTTTTCCAATGTTAACCAATGTTGGGTTTCCAATGTTGCTCATGGCCCCAAAAGATGAAACTTTTTTGGTTCCAGGTCCTTGCAACAACCGAGTAACTCATGTATATATATATATATATGTACCCTGGGGTTCAGTTACCGCCACTAAAGCAAGTGTTGGGTTCATGGAACAGCCATTGTTTGCCCTTCAGGAGTCAGGAGTGTCACAATCTAAATTGGGTCAACCATTGTTTTAATCGGTGTTGAACCCTCGGTTGTATATATATATATATAGACCACACTAAAGTCAACCGTTCATATAGGTGTAGATACGGAGGTACAATTATACGTATCCTTAGAGAGAGAGAGAGAGAGGGAGAGCGATGCATGCATTCAAATAGATGTATTTGTACCTGTATACACAGGTATGCGTAATTTGTGTTGATATGACACAACACATATTTATATACATGCACATTTTGCAACTATAGCTATATACATGTGATCATTTGTACTGTGAAAGTATATGTTTATATGCATACATCTATATATAATCTATACCTGCATGCGTCTAGTATGTGTATATACGTATACATATATATATATATATGGCTCCTTGAGTCTTCATGGCATCTCCTTTGCATCCCTCAATCACACTGTGCGGACCGTTGTTTAACTCATGATTTAAACAAACTCGTGTGAATGTTGAATTGAAACTCGGAAAGGGATGTCGTTTTTGGATCGTCAAAACGGAGAATCCGAGCCTGCTGTCAATGTCAGTTTTAGCATGCTGAGCTACACATTTGAAGCAAACACAAGGCGCAAAGCTCTGCAGCTTCGGTCTTTAAAACTTGTTGACGTGTTTTGCCCCTAAATTTCCGGTCTGCCCGTGGAACACGCAGTGAATGGTGGCCGATTTCTCCGAATGAGCACCGGCAATTTCGCCCAAAGCTCTTGGGGAGAACTGATTCTGCTAGGGGTCGATGGGGCCAGGTTCATTTTTGTCACCTGCGGTTCAGGTTTTTTTTTTTTTCTTTTTTCGGAGGTACGAATCCATCCTGGAGGAGCTGACGATCGCCGACCTTGAGTGCCCCGAATGAGTTCTAAACCATGCCTTTGCCGTGCTGAAGTTTGAATTGGCGGTGAGTGTTGATGGGGTATGTGATCCAAAATTGGTCTGTTGTTTTGTGGAGCTGGTACCCCTTTTTAATTGGGCTTGAAAGGGAAACCAAGGATTCTCCATTGGGGGTTGCGCTCCCTCGTTCCCCAATAGTGTCCAACTTTGGGGTCTAACACTCTACTTCCCAGCAAGTGTCCGGAAATCCGGGCCTCTCATGCTTCAGATCCCCCTTGGTCTTGGGATCTTGGGCTCCCCGGTGAACTGGCCGTTTCGTGTCTTATCACTGCCCCAAAGTATCACCGGGTGCGTCAAGCTGTTGCTTGCTTTTTGTTCGTCAGAGGTTTCAGAGGTTCATTCTTGGACAGCCAACTCAGTTCCCCTTTTGCTTGGGTTTAACATCATCTTTGGGGCTGATTCAAAGTGAGGTTCCTTGGGTGATGCTTCAAGCGATCAGAAGGTCCTGTACATGAGATGACCATTGGGTAAAAAGATGATATCTCCCACGAAATGGCGAAAGTTCCCATGGTGATTTGGGGGCCAGGAATATTGATCAAACCCGCATATCGAGACCCCTCAAAACCAATTTCGGTGTGAATCCATGAACAATGTATGGATTCATAGTATGGATGGTTGGCAAATCCGTTCGCACCACAATGGAATACATTGTTTCGATCCATTGTTTGTTGGTATCTACACGGGAATCATCCATGCAGGATCCAGGATTTCTTAGATGTTTCGGGAATTCCAGGATTTCGTCCATCCAGAGTATGGACCCCTATTGGTCAAAGCAAACCACCAGAAAGGAACGGCGGAGCTATGGGGAACAAATCACCCAAATTGATTCCCGCCGGCTCACAGATGTTTTGTGTTGTTTAAGGTGCGGGGGGTGCCCTAAAAAGAGCCACACCCATATGTTTTCTATAGCTTCCCTTGTAAACCCTCCAAGAAGGGGGATTTATACGTTGAGAAGCGCCTATACACGCATATACACGCAGCCCTTGACACCTTTCAGAGGTATGCCTCGAAGCGGCTGCCGGCTCTTCGCAAGAAGGCGCGGAGAGCCAGCGAGAATTCAGCCCACTCCCTGAGTTCCGGTATGCCTCGGACTTGATCGTCGCTTCTTGGGCTTTGGTGGCCATGTTGGTGGCGAATATAAGCAACTGGTAGAGTTTTGTTTGGCCACCCATCTTTTTACCCATCCTTCTCGAAAACCACACAACTCCCGAGGTGTTGAGCAATTTTTCGAAGACGGAGACCTGAACAGAATAGGGAAGGTTCGGCTAGCAAAAATGGATTCCATGTGCGCCAGTTGGAACATCACTTTACCAGCTGGTTGTAAGGACCCCCTTGTCAAGGTGGTGGATGTTGGAAGTCCCTGAAGACTTTAGAAAAACACATCGCCTTTAGATGATTCCCTTTTAAAAAAGGTGGCTTTCCCATGCTTTAAGGAACCCTGTCAAAATGACCTGGGAAAATCAGTCACTGGCCCTGGTTTGTGTGGAAGATTCAGCGGTTCACCCCCTGTCCCTACCAAAAGGACTGTCGAATGAAAGTTGACCCCTAAAACCACCAGTTCATACTTTGGATGGTTGCGAAATCCATTTCGCGCCCCCCGTTCAGAAACCCAACGGTGTGGGATTCGATTCCCTGTAAACACCAAGAAACGTCACGGGTTCAGCCTCTTTTTTTTTTCCGAAGAGGCGCACAAATAGACTTAGTCCGTCCATGGTATGATTGGGATGAGGGTCTATGCAATGAATGGTGAATGTGGCTTAATGTTGACCCCATATCAATCAACCCCAGCTTCTTAACAGCGGGGGGTTGGGGGCCCTCCAAAAGTGGTCTGATTCCCCGCGTTTCGCCCAGGGAAAAGCAGCCCCCCTATGAATAAGCTGGGGTTGATAAACATGGGGTCAACCAAATGACGCGATGCTCGATGAAAATGTCTGGTGGCCTATGGGGCACCTGCGTGACAGTCCATGTCAGCCACCGAGAATCGATAATCGAACCAGACCAAAAGTCCCGTGTCCTTCAGGGGCGTTCCAAAGTCAAGGGTGCCCTTTCTTCGCATGGCTGGGCTTTGGATTGCTTCCTCCGGTTTATAAATTACCGCAGTTTGGCCAGACTGCATGCGACCCGGTTGGCTGGTACCGCGTTGGTTCGGTTTGAATGGGCATAATCGGCATAATGGTGTTGAACAGCACGATAGAATGTGGCCTTGCCCTTTGCAGTCGTGATACGTGATGGTCGCTACTGATAAATACCACCAGGAGTTGTGCTACTCATATGGGTATCCTCCTTCCCTCTCTGCCTCCGTTCCTCGACTTTAATCATCTTTTGGGAAGAGCATTTTAGTGGTAAACAGCCAGTCTCTCGACTTCTCCTGGCCAAAACACTCAACAAGTGAGCTAATTCGCCCGCAGCTGCTCAAGACGAACCTCGGGTCTGATGAATGTACCAGAAGACCCGGGTGAGGGTTGCTTAAAACAGATGCCCGTTGGTTGGACCTCTTGGTAACACGCACAAAAGTCAAGGGCAGGGTCTCCAAACCGGGTCCGATGCTAAGCCCGTGTTGTTTGGTGTGTCTAAGAGGCCAAAAGGGAGGGCGGATCGGATATTGGTGTGGCTTTGCAAGGGAACCACAAAAATGGATGGTGTCCTTTTGTTCTCCCTGTAAAGACATCCCAAAAGGTACCCACAAGAAAGCACACTACCATAGTGTTTTCCAGAGCTCTTGCTTAACACGCAAAGTCTCTCGCAGACTGGCATGAAACCCAACATGTTTGGTTCGCCCAAAAGGAGATTCCTGAAATTGAACGCAAGCAAATGAACGGATATGGGCGGCTCGTCTTTTTTGAGGCACCGGATGGTTGCGCTTGGAAACTAAAAGAACACCCCAAATCCATGATTATTTGTTTGCTTCGGGGGGGGGGGGGGCTGCCAATCCTGCGTATGCACGAAATACTGCATATCCTAAGAAGGCCTGGAATGATGATTCTCCTGTAAACGACAAAGGCTTCCCATGGTTTCAACGTGGTGCAAGATTTCGTCCATCCACGGTATTGTAAGACACACCCATATCTCAACAACTCGCGATTTGATGCAATTCTCAAGTACCTTGGGTTAATTGGGGGTTACTCACTCCCTGAGTTCCTTAGCCACTTTTTGGTCTGGTTGCCATTTTGGTGGTACGCAAAAAAACACAAAAAGCCCGGTTTTCTTGGACCACCAACTCAGGAAGTGAGTTTTGGCTAAGTGCCAAATGACGTATTGCAGTGGGACGCTCAGCTGGTCGACCCTTGGGACACCTCGGACACGATGCTTCGCCAGGCGTCCAACAGCTCGGAGGTTGCCGGCGACTGAGAGACTGCTGGAATTCGCTTTCGTTTGTTTGGCTCACTCCCTGACGTTTCGCCTGAGGCTTCTTTTTGTTTCTTCTTTGGTTGCTGTTTGGTTGTTGTTTGGTTGTTGTTTGGTTGTTTTAAAGGTCTTTTTGGTGTTCCTCTCCATTTTTAGTGGCCGCAAAAGGTGATCACCTTTTGGTTCCAGGTCCCTGAGGGACTGAGGTTTTGGGGTACCCTTTTCTCGCTCAAGGAGAGTTCACTGAGTTGCGTTTTCGACTTTAGTCACTTTTTGGCTTGGACATAAAACAAAATGTATTTTTGGTTCTGGCCAATCCACTCAGGAAGCGAGTTGCAGTGTTGCTCCGCTTTGTTGCGTATCGCGTTTTGGATTGCTCTGTTTGTTTGTGCTGGATGTTTTATTTTGCTTCTGCCTTTTGGTTGGCCCTTACGCGCTGCTTTTGCTCTTGGCATTTGCTTGGAAGAAGTAGCCTTTCTCACGGTTACGAGTCCGAGGCGGGTTGAAGAGTTGCGAGTTTTGCTGATTGTGCAAACCATTCGCGCTCGTTTGTGTGTTAGTCAGGTGGCCCTTATTGTTTTTTAGCTTCCCCCCTCCTGCAACAAAAGCCAAACGACCGGATCAGTTGACCTTTGGGTTCCCAAAAGGTGATCAGCTGTCATTTTCGAGGTCTCTTGACCAACTGAGCCTTAGTTGGTGGTGTGGGTTGGTGCTTTGGATTTTGAATTGAAACCCTGGTTTTTGTAGGTCCAAACCACCAATCCAAACTACCAATTATAGGGAAGCTCAATTAATACAGCAGCAACCAACAAAAACTAAAGGTAAGACTAAACAGTAGCACACACCGATCAAAATCAACCAGGGGGTTCTTACTCTGAGGTGCACATCTGAATTTTGCACTCTGAAATGGGCCTTACCGTAGGAAACACCGCGGGGAAGAAGAGGGAGGTCACCAGAGACCATGCAAAACCTGGTGTCACTTCTTGAGTTCCTGGACTTGAGTCACTTTTCGGAAAGACCACTTTAGAGGCAACCAAGAGGTTTAAACTTGTTTGGCCAATCTGCTCGATCGGACGGAAGGGTAAGAACCCCTGCCTTTTCTAGCGGCAAATGAAAGAACTGGCGTTTTGGGATTGCTGGTTTCTCGGCTTGCAGGACTCGAGAGCGATAAGGCCTTTGGCCTTACAACCTGAGCTTGTCTCACTTGGCTGTGGGTCAAAACCAATGGCATCCCATTTTGGGGTAGGTGCACCACCCATTTTAGTCTATTTTTGTGGGGATTGGGATGTTCACTGGGGGTACGATTTGGATTTTGAGACCCATGGCCACTTCCAGAAGTCCTCTAGATACGTTTTGGCCTTAGGCCTTTTTAGTGGCACTCGAACAAGTTTGTATTTTTCGGCCCGTCCATCGAATGTGAGCTTGGGTGTGTCGTTCAAGGGCACCTTGCTTGGATGGCTTCCAGCGGACACCAACAGGACAAACACATGTTCGGGGTCCCTGATTGAAGACAAGCCATTTTGGAACATGACGATGGCCCCGATGACCAGCAACACATGTGGTTTGTGCAGTTGCAGGGGTGAGTTCGACCAACTCAAGTTGCACATCAACTCACCCCAAAGCGAAAGCCGGCGTTTGGACCTTTCGGTCGCCCAGTTTGATCCAGTTTGGCGTGCTCATCCCTTTTTCTACCCAGAGGCTCCAATTCGATTGATTTAGGGCCTTCAATCAACCTGGTTTTGAGAATTCCCGGGTCCCAACCACCAATTCGCGGGGTTTCTAATGCTTCGGGGTCGGGTCTTCGGAGCCTTTGGGAACTGAAAGTGCGTTAGCATTGGGATGGTTTTGGCGCGGGCGCGGAAGAAGGACAGCCTCAAGCTGAGGCCAAGATGCTCCCGGTCTACGAGTCCTTGCTGCAGTGTCTGGAGGCAAGAGATACCACAGGCCACCCCAGAATGACCGGCCCACTTGGCGAGTGCTTGGCGACCTGCATAGTTTCGGACTGTATTCACTCTTTGGGAAGTCCATTTTAGCGGCAAACAACAAGTCTGGGAGCTGTTGTTCGCCTTTCCTTTGCCAAGGGTTCCTTTCTCAAGACGGAACGCGCGAACCCCCAGCACTGAAGCAACGTCTCCATCGATGTACGACCTCTGAGAACTCAGGCCAATCACCTTGTCGACTTTCGATCGGAGCCCTCTTCACCCCTTCTGCCCCCCTTTTTTGAGGGTATCATGGTTGTTGTTGGGAAACATTTTACATGTTTGCATATCGTGGTTTGGTAGGACATCCCCACTTAACTGCTAAAATTTACATTTTTGCTCCTCTTCCAACGTCAACCAAGGTATGATGTCAGCTTTGACTCTAAAAGACCGATATCTTGTACCATGGCAAGCCATATCTTCCAGAATATGCTCTAACACAGGTGGGTATGCAAGAGTGCGAGGGGCGTGCCTGTTTCTTTTGCTTGAACGCGTAGAATTGAATGTTGTCTTGGTTGGACCTTCAACGGAACTGGCGGGGTCCTCGGAATCCGCCGAAATGGTCCAGAAACACCAATGCCAAAGACTACCTAGGTCCCCCAGTGCCCTTCTCACCCCTTTTTCGGGGCAGGGTTCCTCTACCAAAATAGACTTCAGAAAAAAGGGTATCTAAGCTCTCTACTGGAGTTATGACTTGAAAAAGGCTTATAAGACAGGATTTCTTATATACCCCTTGAAAAACATCAAAACGAGAAAAAAAAGTGCAAGGAAATAAAAAGCGAGAAAAAAAAAGTGCAAGGAAAAACAAAGCGAGAAAAAAAACGTGCAAGGAAAACAAAAGCGAGAAAAAACAAGTGCAAGGAGAAAAAAAGCGAGAAAAAAAGGTGCAAGGAAAAATGAGGCGACAAAAAAAAGTTCAGAAAAAGTTCAAAGGTCAAAAGCTGAATTTTCAAAAGTTCAGAAAAAGGTCAAAACTTGATTTCTGAAAAGTTCAAACAAGGGCCAACGGTCTAAAACCTGTTTTCCAAAAGTTCAACAAATGTCAAAGGTCAAAACGTGTTTTTGCGAAAGTCCATAAACATGTCATAGGTCAAAAGCTGATTCTTCAACAGTTCAGAAAAGGTCAAAGGCCAAAACTTGCTTTTCGGAAGTCCATAAACAGGTTAAAGGTGGAAAGCTGATTCTTCAAAAGTTCACAGAGGTCAAAGGCCAAAAGCTGACTTCTAGGATGTTGAGAAAAAGGCCAAAGGTCAAGAACTTCGTTTTCCAAAAGTTCAGCAAAGGGTCACAGGCTATAACAGTTGCGTTTTAAAAGACAGCAAACGGTGAAATGCCGAAATCCAATGTCCCAAGCGTTCGGACAAAGGCCAACGTCGAAACTTCTTTTGTTAAGAGCTCAAAACGAAGTTTGCGATTGCCCGGTTGCTTGCGCAGTTGCAACCAGAACGGCGCAGGTCAAACGAACATGTTTTAAAAGCTTAGGCAGTGAAACAAATATCCCAGAGGGCCCAGAACCGCGAAGGTAAGAATTGAGATAAGCATCTCATGTTAAATCGTTCAAAAACAAACAAGGTAAGAGAAGCTCTCTCTCAAAACTAAAAACAGCCAAATGTCAGTAGGCGAGCCTGTGGTCCGAAAATGCCAGAACAGCCTTTTGAAACGCCAGGATTTTCCTGCTTTGAGCTTCCGGCTGGCCGGGCCTCGGCGGGCTCGAGTTTTTAAGGTGCCAGGATTTCAGGTTTTAGCTTCTGGCTGGCCGGGCCCCGGGGGGCTCAAGTTTTTGAGGTGCGCGGATTTTAGCCTTTAGCTTCTGGCTCGAGGTTTTAAGGCGCTTGGTTTTTCCTGTTTTAGCTTCTGGCTGGCCGGGCCCCGGCGGGCTATGCGGGCTCGAGCCTTTAAGGCGCCAGGAATCTTCGTTTTAGCTTCTGGCTGGCCGGGCCCCGGCGGGCTCGAGCTTGTGAGATGCTGGGATTTTCCTGTTTTAGCTTCTGGCTGGCTGGGCCCAGGTTTCCTTGCGGTTGGGCTCGCTGCCTCGCGCAGAAGGGCTGCCTCGCGCCGGTTCCTGTTGCTTTCCGCGCAGCGGGCCCCACTCCCAAGGCGGAGTGCGGCAAAAAGTTGACAAAAACATCGAAAGTTGAAAAACAGTTGACAAAAAGTTGAAAAAAGTTGACAAGCAGTTGAAAAAAACATCAAACATCGAAAAAAGGTCGGGCGGAACTCCCCGTCGGAACTCCCCGTCGGAATCCCCGCAAAAAGTCCGCAAAAAGTTCTCGAAAAGTCCGCGAAAAATCCGCTAAAGTCCGCGAAAAATCCACTGCCTCCGCCTCGGGAGTGGGGCCCGCTGCGCGAGTGACCGCGGAAAGCAACAGGAACCGGCGCGAGGCGGCCCTTCTGCGCGAGGCAGGACTGGTCCTTCCACAGACCCGAGCCCAACCGCAAGGAAACCGGGGCCCAGCCAGCCAGAAGCTAAAGATAAAAATCCGCGCACCTTAAAACTCGAGCCCGCCGAACCCGACCAGCCAGAAGCTAGAACAGGAAAATCCGCGCACCTCAAAAACTTGAGCCCCCCGGGGCCCGGCCAGCCAGAAGCTAAAACCTGAAATCCTGGCACCTTAAAAACTCGAGCCCGCCGGGGCCCGGCCAGCCGGAAGCTCAAAGCAGGAAAATCCCGGCGTTTCAAAAGGCTGTTCTGGCATTTTCGGACCACAGGCTCGCCTACTGACATTTGGTTGTTTTTAGTTTTGAGAGGGAGCTTCTCTTACCTTGTTTGTGTTTGAACGATTTAACATGAGATGCTTATCTCAATTCTTACCTTCGCGGTTCTGGGCCCTCTGGGATATTTGTTTCACTGCCTAAGCTTTTAAAACATGTTCGTTTGACCTGCGCCGTTCTGGTTGCAACTGCGCAAGCAACCGGGCAATCGCAAACTTCGTTTTGAGCTCTTAGCAAAACAAGTTTCGACTGTTGGCCTTTGTCCGAACGCCTGGAACATTGGATTTTGGCTCTTCGCTGTTTGCTGTTACTTTAAATCGCCACTGCTAGGCGCCTGTGCATTGCTGAACTTTTGGAAAACGAAGTGCTTGACCTTTGGCCTTTTTCTGAGCATCTTAACAAGTCAGCTTTTGGCCTTTGACCCTCTTCTGAACTGTTGAGGAATCAGCTTTTGACCTTCGACTTTTTTCCCCTTGCACCTGTTTGTTCATTGTTTTGCCCTCGCGCTTGTTTGTTTTGCGCTTGTGTTTCCCTTGCGCTAAGATTCTCCATATGTTTCCCCCTTGCACTTTTGGTTTTCACTTTTTTTTCTCTCCCTTGCACTTGTTTTCACTTGTTTCCCTTTGCACTTGTTTTCCACTTTTTTCCCTTTGCACTTTTTGTGCTTGTTTTTCCTTGGACTTTTGCTATTCACTTTTTTGTTCCTTGGACTTTTTTCTCACTTGTTTTTTCCTTGGACTTTTGTTTCTCACTTGTTTTTTCCTTGGACTTTTTTGTTCTCACTGTTTTTTCCTTGGACTTTTTTTTCTCACTTGTTTTTTCCTTGGATTTTTTTTTCACTATGTTTTTCCTTGGACTTGTTTTTTCTCACCTTGGACCTTTGCGCGCACTTTTTCATGAACTTTTAACTGTTCCTGTCTTATAAGCTATTTTAAGTCATAATACTGGAGGACCTAGCTACATGGCGGGCCCCAAGCCCTCCCCCACCCACCCCCAACCCCCCCCCCTCCCCCACCCCCAACTCGCCTCCCCCACCCACCCCCAAGCCACCCACCCGAAGCCCCCCCCTTCTCCACCCCCAAGCCCTCCTCCCCCACCAACCCCGTGTCTTTTGGAGGGTACCCTTCTTTTGACGGGTTTAAAGGGACACCAGAAGGAACCATGATTTGGGGCTCCAACCTTAAATTAGACCCACCCCTATACACTGTGGATGGGTGAAATCTATTTCGCACCACCAAAGAAACCCTGGTTTCGGATGATTCATACCACTAAACGCGATGGTTTCACCAATTTCCAAAGTGGTGCGAAATGGCTTTTGCAACCCTCCACTGTGGCAACCCCAGACTCTTCAAAATTCATTTCCCAGATTCCCTGCAAAAAGTCTAAAGTCCTCCATTTGCTTAGTAATACTGTTTTAATCTCCTGTTTTGAGGGGAATCTGTCACTATATTGGAATTATGTTTATTTCTTCCAGGGGGCTCTGCTGCAAGGAGGTAGTAGTTCACTGTTGACCCATATCAATCAACCCCAGTTTATGAATGGGGTGAAATGTGGGGAACCATACCATTTTGGAGGCTGACCCCCTATGAATAAACCTGACATGGTTGATTCCCTATGGTCTTTCATTCCCTTAACCTTTTGGGGGTCTTTCCCTATGTTCATTCATATGGGGTCAGTACTGGAAACGGCAGGCTGGCCGAGCGGCCCGGCATGCCACGGGCTCGGACTAGTTGAAACCCAAGGCTTGGGCGGTTTCAAGGGCAGACAAGGAACACCAATGCCATTTTGGGGTAGCCTCAAAAACAGACAGATAGGAAACTCCTTTCGGGAATCGGACTTTTTTTGGGCTTCGTGAAAGTCTAGGCCTAGGCCATGTAAGGCGGATGTTTTTGCAACGGTGGATATTTCATCTACTGCGACATGTTCGGTGCATGGGAGGTAAACATCTCTGCTTGGGGGGGGGGCAACAGGACAAACAACTTTTGCACAAGGTCAGGCCATCCAGAATGAGTTTCTCAAATATGCTCGTGATGGATGGGTGCGGAACCAGGGCCGACACGTGAAGAATCGTTGTGAACAAAGTATCACATTTCCCAGACCCTTTCCTTCGAAGCCTCTTTCCGGGGTCTTCACCAATTCTATTTTGCATCTTCGGGTAGACTAAATATGAAATAATTAGAGTCAGAAGCTATGGTTTTCTCCTCAGATGTGGGCCGAACCATGCTTGCATACGAATCTCACTGCTCATGGCAATGACCCAGCATGACTGCCATCACGAGATTGGACGGACGATTCCGTATCTACCTGGAGTCTCCTTCTGACCCTTCTACCCAAAATTGAGAGCTTATGACCCCTTTTTCTATAGGGGTCATGGAGACTCTGGGTAGGCTTCCAGTCGTGCCCTTTGGGTCCCTTCAAAGTCAATTTGGCATGGCCGGCAGTGTAGAGCACCGGAAGCAATATTTTGGACTCATAGTGGCCAAAGGCGTTGCCATTTCCAGACTAGTCCCAGAGTCGTGTTTCCATTCCTGAGGCCATGCCCGCTGATGTGCCTGGTATCCCAGATGCCCTTGTCCAGCTGAATATTCGTTGGAGAGAAGGGTGTATGTTGTATGTGGGGAGGGGGCATCCCAAAGCCAAATCGATTTCCAAATCTTGCGCAAAATCCCGGTTTTCATCTTTAGACTTGAACTTGTTGGTTGAATCCAAAGAGTTGTTTTTCCGAATTGACCCCACAAAAGAACAAACATGCAGAGGGGTCGTTGCAGCAACCAAGCTATCTCTGCAAAGTTGTGTTTGTCAAGCTCACGATTCGGCAAGAGTAAAACGAGCGACAGCCAAGTACCCCTGAAAGCCCCTGAAGGTTGCGCACGTGCACATGGACCTAGACTCCCTGACCCAAACGAAGAGGGTCTCGGCCTGACGGCCTTTGCCAACCAGCGGCCAGGGGATTGGGATGGGATCTTTGGTGAAGTTGGTTTGCCATCTATGAGGGGCGCACAAATTTGGAACTGAAATGGTTGGTTGGAGAGTAAACCAATTCGTGGACGGATTCAACTTAGTTGGCGACCATATAGGTGACCCTTTTCGCTCAGGTTCGTTGGAATTGATGGCCTGGTTTTGATTGTTTTTGTTCAATTTACCAGGGCCATCTAACGTCCAAAAGGCCACATATGAATAGGGGAGTCCGCTTTTTAGGGCACTCTCCCCCCCCCCCCCGAATTAGTAGTTGTCCTTTTGGATTCCCGTTAAATCCAGCCATAACAAGGGTACCCCGCACGAGAGGGTTACCTTTGTCTCTCATTCGCCGAGGTCCTTGAGCGATGACTTCGTGTCGCAGCTCATCACCGCCAAGCCTGTGGCCTGCTGCCCAGATTCGCTCGTCGTGCGGTCCAAATGCTATACGTTTGCTTGGACCAGGGGTGTGTGTGTGTGTGTGTTTTACTTCACTATTATTGGCATGTTTTTTTGGGCTTTTAGTTTTTTGGTTCTGTTTATTTTTACTGGGGTCTGCAAAAAACAAAGCTTTTTGCTACCATACCAAGAGTAGAGATGTTACTCACTTCCTGAGCTCTGTGTCGGACTTTAGTCCCTTTTTCGGGCTTGGGCCATTTTTGAGGCGACCCAAAAGTTTGGACTTTTGTTGCCAATTCACTCGATCGAAAGTGAGTTTACTCTTTGGTACCATGGGCATGGGTCAAACTTAAACCAGGGGACCGCAGGCTTTAGTCCTTGCGTTCCAGTTTCCAGGGCAACCCATTCTGGCAACCTATTTTTGACCCACAGCGAAATGAGTACTTCCCACTAAGCAACAGTGAGAAGTTGGTTGGAGGGTCAATTGCCAGGCTCCGGAAAGTTTGCGGAAAAGGACTTGAGGATGGTCACATCGCCAGACGTAGCTGGTTGTGACGATTGTCAAGTTGAGTGAGTGACCAAAAGCGCCGATGTTCGACACAAAGTACATTCGACATAAGCATACGGGTGTGGTTGAGTTTTTGAGCCTTGGTACCCTTTCCAGGTCCCCCAGTAGTGCCCTTTTACGCTTTTCTGGGGAGGGTTCCCCTACTAAAATAGACTACAGAAGAAAGTTGGTACCCTTATTCTAACTCCTCTACTGGAGGACCCAGCTTTTGTGTGGTTGGCTCGGGAAACCGAAGGAACTCAACGGTCTCGAGGGTTCCGATTTCTGAGAGATATGCCCTGCTCTCGGGTGTTCGATTCGTCAAGTTAGCAAGTTGCAACGGTAACCGTTCAGATATAACCCAGCTAAAAGCACCGTTCAGTGGGTTCAATCTTGATATAGGGGGGTTATACCTACCCAAGAGGACCCCCCAGTTGGATAAAATCCCCTCAACCGACCAATTCACATAATATGTTTTCATCAATTCATAACAGAACCTCAACTCAAGATTTGATACATAAATTTTGTAAATATTTTTCTAAATTCCCAAAATATATTTTCCAAAATCCCAAATTCCCAAAATATATTTTCCCAAAATCCCAAATCCCAAAATCCCCATAATTTCAAAACATAAATCTTACAATGTTTTTTATTGTAAGGTTTATGGTGTAATTTATAATTTAAGTTCAGGATAATAATTTAATTGACAAATCTCATTTATTTCATACATCATTTTAAACATAATATTAATATCTCTCACTGTATTTTTAACATTAAACTTTTTATAAATTTCAATATAAAATTTGATATATTCTTTAATATAATCTCCTTTCTTTTGACTATGACACAACATCCTTAATATATCATAAATCATTTCATATTTGTTCTTACTGATTTTAAGAAACTGTTTAACATAAACGTAAGGTGGTAATTTATTTACAGTTAAAAATATCAAAATGTCATCTTCAACATGTCTTTCATTAAACCTTTTAATACTTAAAGTACATTTGATTAATTCTTGATAAAACCTCCAATTTCTACAAATGTTACATAAATCTTCTTTACCCAAAGCATAATCAATAATATTATTTATTATTCCATTAGGTAAATTAAATTTATACAATTCCATATTTTCCTTTTTAAAGTGGCAGCAGTCATAGCATTTCTTATTAATATACTTATTGATTTCAATACCGTTCATTTCTTCACTATTAATATAAGGTGTTTTTTCTTTAGGACTATTTCGCCTAAAACTAAATTATTAATTTAATTCTTTCTATTATTTTGTCACATGTTGTTTCATTATAAAAATTATTTTTTATTTGTTTTCTAAACATTCCCATTATTCCAATCGCACGTTTTATTGTATATCTAAGTTCGTGAGTTTTATACTCATTATTTAAAAACTCATTTAACAAATCAAACAATACAACGTATTTTAAACGTTTAATATTAAAAGACATATTGTATAATTGTTTTACAATACTATAATACTTAAAAGTAAAATCATTATTATATCCTTCGTCGTTACATTCTAATAAATTATCAAATCCTTCTATAGTTAAGAAATTATTCATTTCAATAAATACAAATATTTCTAAATCATCATCAATAGTTTCATTATTTATAATATCAATATCCTTGTTATTCATATCATCATTTTTTTTTATAATTCTATTGCACTTATTGCATATTATATATTGACAAATATTATTACAAAGACCATTTGCAAAACCCCGTTCAATTGGTAATTTGAGCATTTCACAGTCTTTACATTTATAACTCATAAACTTGTTTTTCAATATATTTTTAGCATTGATACCGACTGTATCACTCATTTTACTATAATATATTAAGTTATTATTTCTTCAAGTCATTTTGAAATCATAAATCTTACAATGTTTTTTATTGTAAGGTTTATGGGTTAAAATAATGGTCAGGCAATATGTCTTCAAATATGTAATCTACATATTTATCTATATCACCAATGTATATATATTTGATATTGTTTTTTCCTATTATTGAATAAATATATTCCCAAAAGAATAAATACAACAATAGACATACTTTATATTTAGTGTTGTAGTAATACCATATACTATATTTAGTTGCTCTAAATTCGTTCAAGACTTCGTTTATTTTATCTTTGTCTAATAAATGCCAGTTAATCCATTCAAACAAATAACGGTATTTTTTGACAAATGCTTTATATGGTTTAATTGCGTTTATTCCTCCAAACCTCCTAATTAAATCTATATTACTAAAGAATTCATCAATTTCATTTTCATATGACTTTCTGGAAATCTTCTGGTAAAAGTGTATAGGAAATCTTGCTTGGTGTCGCATAAAGAATTTTAACTGTAATTGAAACTTTGTATATCCCTTATCCTTATGTTCTTCAAGAAAAAACTTTTCAAGGTCTCTTGTTATACAGCATTGATTGCAGTATACATTATATTCACTTATTTTATTACATACATTTGCTGGTAGTATATGATGCAAGGTTAAACTCAAATCATTCATTTTGCATTTACAGCATTCGCACTTGTTATAGTTAAACAACATTTCACTAATATTATAAGGCGTTTTTTCTTTAACTGTATTTCGTTTAATATTAAACTTTTAATAATTCGTGTCTCAAATAAGGATTAGTTTTTCCTTCCAAATGAAAGTAAGATTGCCCTAATTTACTATCAATTGATTTTACTTTAAATACTTCTTTTAACCAATGACTGGTATGTGCCTTTTCGCTTATGCCTTTCTTCCTCATTATTTTTACATTACTACCCACTGACAACTCAGGGTATTTTCTAGTATTTCTTGCTTGTATTGTAATATTCATTTTTACCTCAAATTCATTCTTTTTTAATCTTGCGTCCTTCGGTGTAAATTTAGTTGCGGAATGCACCATCTTATTATTGTAAGTTAATAATATTTCAAAAATATAATCCGTCCATTGGATATTCTGCTTTCCATTTTTCTTGTCCGCTTCAACTCGTTTAAACAGTTGATCTTTAAAAGTCTGAATTCCACGCTCCGCAAATGCTGGATGACCTCTAGTTCTATGTAATTCAATTTTCTCCTCCTTCAAATAATCTAATACTGATTGCTTAAAAAAACTGCCTTCCTCGTCGGTATAACTTAATTTCGGTTTGCCACCCATCTTATTGATATTCTCCATCATTCCTGCTAAAATGTCTGGCGGTGTCTTGGATTTAATTGGCACGATATGCATATATTTGCTAAATATATCAATGCATATCATACCAATTTTAAATGTTTGATTTTCCAAATCATTTTTAGAAATGAAAAACATATCAACTTGAAATTCCCAGAAACTATGCGGAGCAATAAAACTATTTTCACCTCTCATCTTTCTTTTTTCTTCTACATTCTTACTAAAGAATTCATTGATATCGTTAATTGTAATACTACTATCTTTTTGCTTAGCATCCTTGAGGGTTGTTTGTTTTGAACCATAACCGCTTCTATCATAATATACACTCTTGATAATTTCTTGTGTTGAACTCATTAATTAAGTTAATAAAATAATTTTGAAAAACTCATTTTCAAAATTATTCATGACGCGCTGCAATTGCAATAGACACAAAAGGCGGTGCAGTTTTCAACTGTGTGGCATAACTCATTATCACAACGTTGAGCAGTGAAGTTAGAACTTATTTTTCCTCCTCTTGTATCTAGATTAAATTTAATTCCGCAGTTTTGGCAACAGGATTTGAAGTATTTTAAGCACCAGTTTTCGTCAATGTATTGCTCTTCGTCTATTTCTCTTTTTGCTACTCTATCTTGCTGTTTATATCCTTCAACTTTGTTTTTAAAATAGTTGATTACCAAACTCTTAAACATATCTTCATCTCCCTCTTTGTTCTTGTAAAAATAGACATTGTTAAAATCCCTCGCTCGTGTGATACTCGTCCACAACCATTCCCTACAAACTAAATAATCTTTGTTCCATTCGTGAATGGTCATATTATCACTGATTGATGTCCCCTGTCTGCTATGAGTGGTAGCACAGTAGGCATATCTAAAATGCTTATCTACAATATCAATGTCAAGTGTTCTAATGTTGTCTGTATCCTTAATATCTTGTATTGTTATCTTGTATCCTTCGTTATTAACAACCTTCCACCTAATATTAACATTCAGTTTTCCTTCCTTGTCCTTTTTGTAAAGTCTGCATATTAAGATTTCTCCAATTTCATATTTGCATGTTTTACCTAATCTTTTTCTAATCTCATTGGATACTGCCTCGCATCTAATATTTGTATATGCTATGTTGTTTTCACTATTCATAACATCTTTAGTAAATTTGAAATGCTTAACTATCCATTCTTCAACTGCCATCTTTTTTACCCAAAAGTCATCATAGATTTCATTCAGTTTCTTTCTGTTTCTTTCTCCTTCTTCTGTATCCTTACCACCTACTCGCTTACATATCT